AACGAGCTATCCATCGGAGCCCCGAACAACGAGAACCCCCAAAAAGAATTAAGCAACGGAAATAAAAGAAGAAACCCCAAGACCAGAAGCGAAAGATACCATGTTGAGAATGATAGAAAATATAGAAAGATTATATTGAATTTACTTGTGTACAAAGATTAATGCTTATATACAGCTCACGAAACTAACCTCAGTCTCTTAACCCTGACAGACTAACTAACCACCTACTAACAACTCTCCAATCTAGCTAACTGCATAGCTAGAATAAAGCCACATGTAAACTAGTTATTCTAGGAATAACAGCTCCAATACTAAGAATTTAAGACCTTGAAAAATGCAACTTCACATTCCAATTCAAAGTTGGTGTCCCTTGCAAATGCTTGATATGCATAAAACCACATTCTCTAATCTCCATTTCCAGGGAAGATGAAAACCATTTCATTCTAAGAATCTGATCTTTTTTTGCTTCTTCTTGTTTAAGCTTCAAAGCAGCACATGTGCCATGTTGAGCAAGGAAATAGCAGAAAAGACCAGTGAACTGAGGTAAACCTGAATGTTATTGCTGTTTCTGTTGTTGCAATGTATAAGCTTATGCCATGCATGTGATGTTGTGCTCATCCTTTCATTAATAGACGGCTGAGAGGAGAGGAGCTCCATGGGTTAGATTTAGAAGAATTAAAAGAGCTAGAGAAATTACTTGAAGGAGGCCTTAACCGAGTCTCGCAAACAAAGGTTTCAACTCACCCTCTCTTTCTCAGTAAGCTAGGTTTTTATGTGAAGTTTTTGATTGTGATTTAAATGGTGATTACTTTTTTATGTTTCAGGATGAAAGGTTTTTCAAAGAAATCAACACCCTCAAAATGAAGGTAATAAAATAGCTACCTTGCAATAGTTGTTGATACTCTATATAAATATAAAAGTAAATACTATATTAGGAATAATGTAAAAAAATTGTCTTAATTGTTTCACTAAATAGTCAATTTGGCTCATAATGTTTTATTTTAAGTAAAAGAATTCCATAACATTTGATAAAATAATCATTTTAATCCTTATTTTTTTAGAGTATTTTAACCCATAAAATTTCATTTTAGGAAAAATGATCTTACTTTAGAGCATCAACAGTTTGTTGACTAACAACTTCTATCTATTGAGTGACCTTTTTACCTAAAAATGAAATATTAGAATCAAAATACTTCAAAATAAAATGTCAAAATCACTATTTAAACAAACATTAACGAATTATATATATATACACACTTTTTTTATTCCCATTATTCTCTCTCTCTTTCTTCGTCAAATGATAAATTACTTGTTCTCTTGTTGAATGTGAAGGGAGCAGAACTGATAGAAGAAAACCATCAATTGAAACAGAAAGTGAGTGTATATCATGTGGAAGAAAAAAAAACTTGTCTTAGTTTCTTGCTGCTTTCATTTCATTTGATGGAAAAAGTTGATTTTTGGTAGATGGAGAATTCATCTCATGTGAAGGCCCAACATCAGAGACCACCGACCATGCATGGAGAACCTTTAGCTCTGACTTCTCTCTCAGATTGGGGTAAAACTCAATTTAACAGCATTCATAATCAGGGATTTAAATTTCAATTACTTGCGTTGCTCACGATTGTGGATATAATAGATGTTGTGGTCACTCTGATATCACGGTCATCTAATAACGGTTTTGGTCAATATCGTTACCGCTATAATACAAATCGTAATTTAAATTTTTGTTCCTAATTACATGAAAAACCCTTTTTGGTGTAGTGATTTCTGCCATAGCTTTGTCCGAGTTCATGTTGGAATGCTTGTTTATTGCAGGTTACCTTACCCTAACTGAGTGTCGAAAGGTTAGAGACGATGATGCCAAAAAGTGTTCGTCATCATCATCGTCTCCTTGCATCATCTTGTTATTGACTTCTGTATGTATTATAATATTTATAAACAATTTATGGCCAGTAATACAGCTTGTTCCTGAGTAATATATAACTGTATGAATTCCATTATAGTACATTTGGGTTTTACATGCCTATTCAAGTGTATAAATGATCATGCGATCAGCCATTTTGTGATCTTAGTAAAATACATGTATAGCAAAAAAGTCGGATGCTTGTAATTTAACAAAATGTCTAATATAATGCAAGAGTTATTCTACGTATAACTATAATGCATACAATTAACACTGTTCAAAATGTAAAATCAGCCAAATACTAAATTTTCTTGGACTAAATATTGGCATATGCACTCTTTACCGGTATTAACCATAAGTACTATAATAATGTATGAAAGGATAATTTAAATATTATATTAGATATTTCATAATATGTATATATATAGTATTTAACAATGTATAAATATCTCATTAAATAAAATTTCAAATTATAAATATCAAAGATATTATCCCTAAGGGTGTGTTTAGTTCACGGAATGTAAGATTACCAGTGGGAATAAAAGATTACCATGGAATAGGATTACTGGAAATGTTGTATTTTGTGTTTGGTTAGTTTAGTAGGAATGTAAGATTATTGTGTTTGGTTAAAGGAATAAAAGATTATTGGAATGCATATTTGATCAAATTGTTCTTATTATATATTTGTTTTTTAAAAAGGTTAGAAAATATTTACATATTTTCTTTAAAAATTTAAATTCATAAAATTTATATAATTTTTTTTACAAAATTGAAAAATATAAAAAGGTTTAATGAAAAGGTAAAATTTTGTTTTAACTCACTTCATATAAAATTTTAATTATAGATTTTTTTATAAATTTAAAATAATTTAAAGATAAATTTGTAATTTAACATTTGTAGAATTTTTATTATTCAATGACAAAATAATGATATTTTTTAAAAGAAATTTTTTTAAGGGCATTTTAGTCTAAAACGTCGGTAATACAACAATACCTAAAGAAAGGGAAGTAGTGACATTCCCGGTAATATATCTTAAAAAATCCACTATTAATACTATAAGATTACTGGAAATAACATTTCGGCCAACCAAAACATTCCCCCTTCGTTTACAATTAATTTGTAGGAGCATGACGGCGAAGTTGTTGACTTGTACGTTGGCTTCCACTGCTAAAAGGAATGTTTGTGAATACTTTAAGGGTAAAGTATAGTAATGGTCACTGAACATTTCTGAAGCTTACATTTAGGTCCCTCAACTTTTAAAACTTGCAATACAGTCCCCCAACATTTATTCCGTTTGCAATATGGTCCCCCAACTTAAACCACCGTTAGAAATTAGGGTAAATTATATAAAAGGTTATTGAACTTTTTAGACACTTGAATTTAGATCCCCCAATTTTTAAAACTTGCAAAACAGTCCTCAATTTCATTCTAAACCCCAATTTCCAATGTAATTCAATTTCATTCTAAACCCTAAATTCCAAAATAATTCAATTCAATTCAATTATGTCAGATTTATTATTATTTAATTTCATCTTATTTCATGTGATACGTATTTTTATATAAATATAATAGTATAATTCTTATCTGTTGAAGAAATTTTTTAATTAAAAAAAGTAGTTAGGATATAGAAGAGGTTGAAAATAATTCGAATTTTAAATTTATAAAATGTTATTTTGATGTATAAATAAAAGTGTAAACTACTAGGTTGACAACTTAACTATCTAGCCATTTTTACTTTTGTCATCGATTTTTTAAATTTATCAATCATACAACATAATTATTTAACTGTTTCAACTAAGCCACTAGTCGTTACCAATTGATACAAATGATGAAGTGGCAGTTAAAAGGAATTGACATTATTATACATTCAGTCTTTATATAATCAATTTGGTCCTAAATTAAATAGAATTTAATAAATTAATCATTTAATTAGGATCTGACATGTGTTAGCACATGATCATGACACGTGTCATTGGTGACACATGTCACCGCCTAATTATTTATATATGCTATCAATTTGGTCCTAAATTAAATAAAATTTAATAAATTAATCATTTAACCAGGATCTGACATGTGTTAACACATGATCATGATATATGTTATTGGTGACACATGTCACCACCTAATTAGAAGAAAATTAAGTTACAAAGAAGTAAAATTTGGGTCTTGGGCAAACTCAAACCTGAGTCACGCAAATGAAAGATACAGGGTGGAGCCACTAAGCTAACACCATCGTTTGTGTTAAGAGATATACAATAATACATATACTAATAGTATGACCAATGCCAGGAAAAAAAGAATATAATGGAAAATGGAAATAATGAGATTTGAACTTCGGCAAAAAATTTGAAAGCAATAAATGATGGGAAAATATTATATTTGTTTACAATAAAAAAATATTATATTTGATAAATTGTTTGATAGATTTAATATATATTTTAAATATTAGTTGATACAATATTTTAAAAGAATAAATTTAAGATTTATATATTTTTAAACTAAATTTAATAATTATATTTTTCATATTTATAATTCATGATTATATATATAATCTTAAGTTGAGTATTTCTAATATAATTAATAATTTTAATTTCTTATTAAAATAAAATATTCAAAAAATATAAATGATTCATACATTAATATATGAATATATTTTTTATTTATACATCTAAATATAAATATACATTTATATAAATATATTTTTATTCGTATATTGAAATATTTTGATTAAAATATAAACATATTTTAAATACTAGTTTATACAAGAAAAATAAAATATATCAAAAATATAAATGATTCATACATTTAAATATAAATTGAATCATTTATATTTTCTATACATCTATATTTAATAAGAAAATAAAATTATTGGGGGACTTTTTTGCAAGTTTTAAAAGTTGGAGACCTAAATTCAAGTGCCTAAAAAGTTCAATGACCGTTTATATAATTTACCCTAATTTTCTAACAGTGATTTAAGTTGGGGACCATATTGCAAACGGAATAAATGTTGGGGGACTGTATTGCAAGTTTTAAAAGTTGGGGGACCTAAATACAAGCTTCAGAAATGTTAAGTGACCATTACTATACTTTACCCATACTTTAATTAAGTTTGTTTGAACCCAAAAGCCCAAACGAAAACCTGATTGATTTCTGCTGTCGACTCCATTTTGAGGGTGTAGTTTTGACCCGAGTCTTCCTTCTTTCAACTTGATCCCTTTTCTTGTCGGCGAAAGGCCGTGGAAATTAACCGCTAATATATTTCCTTTCTCTTTCCCTCCATTTTCAGTCATTTAAATAGCTGCTATGGAGCTTGACGACTTCTCTTGTTATTTGGTGTTCGCTAATGTCTGGTGATTTTTGTTCGAGGTAAGTGACAGTTTTCGACTGATGATTTCTCGATTTCTATGTATGTATATATATCTAGAGTTTCACGAGAATTCTTTTATTTTTTTAATATTTTGGAGCCTAGGGTTAGGATAACTCTTGGAATTTATATATTATGATAGAAAAGGAGTCCCGCCCACCCGGGCATAAATTTCTATATCAGTATACTCTTAATTCAAAGTTGGCTTGAAGCTGGATTAGGATGGTCAATTATTTCCTGTTGTAAATTTCGGAAATGGAAAAAGAAGAAGAAAGGGTTTGGGGCATTCAGAGAATTGAACTTGGGACGTCTTGTATACGACGTGAGAATCATACAACTAGATTACATGTTTTATTATTGATGTTTAATAGAATTCGTTTTTAGTTCTCTTTTTTCTTCAAGACCCTGTGAATTTGGATTTCTCTCTGCTATCTTGTGTGCGAGTTGAACGCGGATAGAATTATACCACTAGATGAAATGCCCAGTGTTTGATGTTTAACATCAATTCTTTTGGATCATTAGTTTCTTCCAGGAAAATAGAGAAAGAAGAGGTTTTGAATTGATTTCAAACTGGATATTCGGCTTTCTCATTCACTACTAGTTTGTCTTTCCATGAACATTTTGGTCAACAAGTATTTAAGCCTGCTTCTCATATGTAGGTTCATTTCATGCAAATTGATCCCTTTTCTTTTGGCAGGGATGACCAATATCTAATATCGAAGGGCTTTGGTATGTATATTAGGTTACTCACTATTAAAAATATTGCATATTATTTTATTTATTTTTGCATCTCTTTTTGAAAAATCTTGTCAGTAAACAATTAATACTTTGTTCTAATGGTTAGAAGATAGTGGAAAAAAACAGCAGTTGGGCGTTCTGAATATTGAATCGATACCTTTCAAACCCACAGTTAGAATCATACCACAAGACTAAATACTCATTTGTTGCCTATAATTTGTTGTTATTCCATTTACTGCTAGTAGTTTTTGAGAAATGGTGCTTGCCTTTATTTATTGATGAAATATTTGACTCTCTGATCAGAGCCAGATTGCTTGTGATCTTTTTTGCTATTGGGATTAACAATTATGCAAGAATACTAAAGTCATCTATTTTCACAAGAATGCTTACTACTTTAGCTGTAAAGTCATTTTTTTAAATTATGTTGACCTGGTCACCTGAGTTTGAATCCTAATTTAACCTTTGGTTGAAGGCATGTGGTGCAAAAGGAGAAAGCTAATGGAGGAGGCCCATGGCATGGTTATTGGTAAAAATGACATATGTACTTCTTTCTAGAGAAAGAAAAAGGCATATTGCTTTTCTATTGGCCTTTCCTCTCGCATTTTTGGGGGTGAACTGGTTATTGTCAATTAACTGGTTTATTCCTATATTTTCATAGGGTTATGTAGCATTCCTTTCTCTACTGACTGTTATTCCAGGTATGAGACTAGCTTTCCCACATGCAAAGATAATTCATACAGTCTAATCTATTTGTTTTCCATTTATTTCTCAGTGCTTGTTAGAAAGTGTGTCAATCAGTTCTATACTCTGCTCTTAGAGTTGACTTCAATACAGATTCTTCTAATAAAATGTTTTAGGATACAGTATAGGAAACCAAATGAAAAAAAAAAAAGAGTTATTGTGGCATTTATAATCCATTTATATATCTAAGGACTTGCTAGAAAATGGATCAATCAGCTCTAATAAATGACATATGGTGCAAAAGGAGAAAGCTAATGGAGGAGGCCTATGCCATGGTTATTGGTCAAAATGACATATGTACTTATTACAAGAGGAACATAAAGGCATATTGCTTTTCTATTGGCCTTTCCTCTCGTTTTTTTTTGGGCTGAACTGGTTATTGTCAATTAACCGGTTTATTCCTTTATTTTCATAGGGTTATGTAGCATTCCTTTCTCTACGGACTGTTATTCCAGGTATGAGATTAGCTTTCCCACATGCAAAAATAATCCATACAGCCTAATCTATTTGTTTTCCATTTATTTCTCAGTACTTTTTATAAAATGGGTCAATCAGTTCTATACTCTGCTCTTAGAGTTGACTTCAAATCAGAATCTTCTAATAAAATATTTTAGGATAAAATATAGGGAACCAAATGAAAAGAAAAAAAAAAGTGATTGTGGTATTTATTCTCCATTTATATCTCGGGACTTGCTAAAAAATGGATCAATCAGCTCTAATAAAAAAAGGACTAGGTGCATTCCAAGATTGAACTCGGGGACCTCTTGCACCTAAAGCAGGAATCATACCACTAGACCAAATGCCCAATTTTTCATATTAATTGTGGCTGGTTTTCTGTTATTAGATATTTTCCCCTGGAACAACTTTTAATTTTCAGTGTAAATCAAAATTTACCAATCTCTTGCGTTTGATGTGGTTCAATTAACTATTGACCTTCTAGGATGATAAGGGATTTTGAAATAGCATTAGCACCAAGTTACAACTTTCATCTATATTTTAATCCATATTTGTTGTTATTAATTCGGAATATGGTTCCCTTGGAAGCTGAAACATCTATAGGTCATGAATCTCCCAAATTCTATATATTTTTTTAACCATGAAGATTCAGGCCTTTAAATCAATAGTTTTCTAGTTATTGTTCTTAGAAATTAGAATATTTGATTTATACATGAAAATAGTTTTAAAAATGAAATTATAGAACAACTATGCAGCTAATAGAAACCTAGTTTATAGTGTCCTAATAAAATTATTAAGCTGGTTATGAAAGTTTTTAGATGTTAATTAAAAGCTGCCTCAGCAGATAAAAAGATGGAGATTCTCTTAGAGAGGACGGAAAATACTTTGCCATTTTAGTTCCATGCTTTTTTACTGGAATATAGGTAGGGTACGTATCTTCAGTAAAATCTTGTCAGTAAACAATTAATACTTTGAAAGATGATTTTGGGCCACATTCTTCTCTTGTAAAGTTTCTGATGGATAGAAGATAGTTAAAAAAAAGCAGTTGGGCGTTCCGAGAATTGAATCGTTGCCTTTGACACCCACGGTTAGAATCATACCACAAGACCATGTGCTCACTTGTTGTCTATAATTTGTTTTTATTACATTTACTGCTAGTAGTTTTTAAGAAATGGTTCATACCTTTGTTAAAGGAGTCTGTGTGGTAGTTTTTAAGTATTATGTAACTGGAGGTTATTAATGAAGTTTTTAGGCACTCTTTCCTCCTTCCGCTGATTAAGGAGCACATTGTGATCCATTAATCAAGAAGGGGGTTTTAACGAGGCCTACCATTCCTATCAAAAAAAAAGAAGAAATGGTTCATACCTTTATTTATTCATTGATGAAATATTTGAGACTCTGATCAGAACCATATTGCTTGTGATCTTTTTTGCGATTGGGATTAACAGTTATGCAAGAATACTAAAGGAGAAAGCTAATGGAGGAGGCCCATAGCATGATTATTGGTCAGAATGACATATGGACTTCTTACTCGGAAGAAAAAGGCATATTGTTTTTCTATTGGCCTTTCCTCTCTCTATCATGTTTTTTGGGCTGAACTGGTTATTGTCAATTAACCGGTTTATTCCTTTATTTTCATAGGGTTATGTAGCATTCCTTTTTCTACCGACTGTTATTCCAGGTATGAGACTAGCTTTTCCACATGCAAAGATATTTCATACAGCCTAATTTATTTGTTTTCCATTTATTTCTCAGTACTTGTTAGAAAGTGGATCAATCAATTCTTTACTTTGCTTTTATAGTTGACTTCAATACAGATTCTTCTAATAAAATGTTTTAGGATATACTATAGGGAACCAAATGAAAAGAAAAAAAGGATGCGGCATTTATTTCTTATGGCTTATTAGAAAATGGATCAATAAGTTCTTTGCTCTGCTTTTAGAGTTGATTTCAATACAGATTCTTCTCATAAAATTTTTTAGGATATAATATCGGGAACCGAATGGAGAGGAAAATAAAAACTTGGGGCATTCCAAGAATCGAACTCGTGACCTCTTGCACCCAAAGCAAGAATCATACACTAGACTAAATGCCAATTTTTTATATTAGTTGTGGCCGGTTCTTAGATATTTTATCTTTCCCCCTTGAACTCCTTTTAATTTTTAGTGTACACCAAAATTTACGAATCTCTAACTTTTGATGCGGTTCAATTAATTATTGACCTTCTACAATTGGATGCTATGGGATTTTTAAACAGCATCAGCACCAAGTTACAACTTTCATCTATATTTTAATCCATTTTTATTGTTTTTAATTCGGAATATGGTTCCCTTGGAAGTCGAAACATCTATAAGTCATGAATCCCCCAAATTCTTGGGGACCAAAGTTTCCTGATCTCTCACTTTTGATGTGGTTTAATGTATCATTGGCCTGCTGCATTGGATGCTGAGGGCTTTTGGAACTGCATTAGCACCCGGTTGCAGCTTTTATCTATATTTTAATCCCAGCATACTGTTATCAAGTCAGATTATGCATCCCTCTAGAGGCCAAACCACTATATGTCACGAGTCTCCCAGATTTTATAACTTTCTTTTAACCTTGAAGAGTCTGACTAACAAATCAATAGTTTTGTAGGTATCGTTCATGGAAATTAGAATATTTTGATTTATACTTCAGAGTAATTTTAAAAATGATGAAATCCAAAAAAAAAATGAAATTACTGAAAAACTGCAATTAGTAGAAATAAAATCAATATTTTATGCCCTAATAAACATTTCAAGCTGGTTGTAGGACCCTTTAGATCTTAATGCTGCTGGTAAAGCTGTTCGGTTATTGCATAAGGATGTAAGTCAAACCACCTTCAACAAAGTGCACGTGAGTGAGGGTTGAAGGAAGGGGGAGAGCTAGGCCTAGCCCACATAGTGTAGCCTGGTAGTTGGATCTATTCTTACCAGATAAAAAGGAAGAAAATTACCAGGGGTATTCTGAGAATTGAACTCAAGACCTCTTGCACCGTAAGCAATAATCTTACCACTAGACCAAATGCCCTTGTTTTGATATTCATCATGCCTGGTTTATATATCTCAGGCTGTTTCTCCTAGAACTCCTATTAATTTTCAATGGTCTCTTTCTTGGGGGACCAAAGTTTCCCGATCTTTCACTTTTGATGTGGTTCAATTCATCATTGGCCTGCTGCATAGGATGCTCAGGACTTTTGAAATTGCATCAGAACCAGGATACAGCTTTTATCTATATTTTAATCCCATCATATTGTTATCAATTCAGAATATTGATCCCTCTAGAGGCCAAACCATCTATATCTATATTTTAATCCCAGCAGTTGTCTCAGAAAAAAAAGAAATTGTTTTTAAATTTGGAAAATGGCAACAATCTATTTATATTTTACTCAGTGCAAAAGAATCAGTATGATGTTTTACTTTTAGCATTGACATAAAAGCTGATTCTATTATCTTAAATTTGAAAATAGGGGAAGCATAGGAAAACAAGCTGAGGCATTCCGAGAATTGAATTTGGGACCTCTTGCACCCTAAGCAAGAATCATACCACTAGACTGTATGCCTGATGTTGTTGTCATTAATTTTAGTATTTCTAGCAGTTTCTAGGGTCCTATTAACTCTCAAAGGGTAAACACCACATGAACTGCCAATTGTTTGCTTTTGATGTGCTACTTGTATAGTTTGATTGCGACAGCGATTTTAGTCTTTGCTTTTGTTGTAATTCTGTTATAGTTTCCCTGTTAAGAGTTCCATGCCTCCATTGCCCTTAAAACTTAGATTTGTTTTGGATAATTTTGTTTCATAGAAATGATGTTAGTCTATACTTCTTAATTTTGTTTCAGATTTGAGTCAACTAAAATGCAAGTTTTATGGACAATGAATTTGGATATTTTAGTCGTACATTCTTTCTTTAGTTGGTAAATACTTGATTGATAGTTAGATGGCTAGCGCCCTCTGTCACAAACTTATGGTACCCACAAAGTAATATAAAGATGAGCTTACCGGACAATTTGCCCATTATGCAGGAAGTTTATCTTAAAATGCTGTTTTGTTTGTCGGACCTGCAAGCCAAATGCAAGAGAGGCTTCCCTTGTATTTTGATCTGTGCTCCTCAAATGTATATTCATTCTGATCTGTGCTCCTCAAATGTATATTCATTCCTTTTCTTGGAGAGGTTATAGCAGATCTGAAGTTTCCTGATGTTATGACAGAGAAACAATGAGGCTCTTTCTTCCCTTTCCATATATTTTAGCAAGTCATTGTTGACTGAAGGTGAAGTCGATATATTTTATATCGTTCTGTATTTTTTCTTAGAAGTTTAGGATAATAATGTAGGGAACCATGAGGAAATAGTGGGGCATTTCAAGAATTGAACTCAGGACCACTTGCACCCAAAGTGAGAATCATACCACTAAACCAAATGCCCATTATTTAGCATACTACATGTCTAGTTTAGATTTGTTAGATATTTTCTCCTAGAACTCTTATTGACTTTCGTTGGAATCATTCTTGGAAGACCAAAAATTTCCAATTTCACTTTTGATGTGGTTCAATGAACCATTCGCTTGCTACAATTAGCTGCGAAGGGAATTCGAAATCACATTACCACCATATTATAGCTTTTATCTACATTTAATCCCAATATAATATTATCAGTTCAGAGTGTGGATCCCCTAGAGACCAAAACATGTATATGTTATGAATCTCCTAAATTTTTTTAACCTTGAAGAGTCTGACTACAAAGTCAATAGGCTTTTTAGTTATATTTTGTTCATAGAATTTAGAATATTTGGATTTATACTTCAAAATAAATTTAGAAAATGAAATTATTGAACAACTGGAAGTTGGTAGAAACCTAATCACTATTTATTGTCCTAATAAACTTTTCAAGCTGGTTATCATAGTCTTAGATCTTAATTTATCTGGTTATCCAGTCTTATTAACTCTTGATAGGTAATAACGCATGAGCTGCCCATTGTTTCTTCTCTTGCTTTTGATGTGCTCCTAGTAGAATTTCCTTGCTATGGTGATTTTAGTCTCTTGCTTTTGTTGTGATATTGTTATTGTTTCCCTGTCAGAGTTCAATGCCTCCATTGCATCTTAAAACCTGGACCCTCTATTTGGCTTTGATCTTTCCGTAGCATAGAAATGATAGTTTTTACTTAATTTCTGATTTGATTCAATTAAAAGGCAAGATTACGGACATTGAATTTTGATAATTTATTTGGTAAATGCTTGGTTAATAGCTGGATACATAGAATAATACCATAAAGTGAGCTTACCGGAAAATTTGGCTATTTCGCAGAAAGTCCATCTCGAAATGTTGTTTGTTTGTTGGCCCTGCCGGCCAAATGCAAGATATGCTTCTCTTGTATTTTAACCTGCTCCTTTAAGGTGGGTTCATTCCATGTGTAAGAGGTGTTATAGCAGATCCAGCTTTTCCTGATATTACGGCAGATTAACAATGTGGCTTTTCCATTATATTTGAGCAAGTAATTGCTGACTGAAGTTAGAAAACAAATCAGGTATGTAAGTCTAAATCCCACCTAAAGGGTAAGGAAGTGGGGATTTAGGGAATGTGGAGAGCTAGTCCACTTAGTATAGGCTGGTAGTTGGATCAGGAAAAAAAGAAAGAAAGAAAAGCAGATGGAGAATCTGGAAATGCAGTCAAAAGAGAGGAAAAATACTTTGGCTTTAGTTTTATGGTTTTTGCTGTGTATTCAGTTGAATGTCTATTTGTTAGTCAATGTTTTGGATGATTATATAAGATTAAGGGCAAAAGAGGAAAAAATGGAAGGGGCATTCCGAGAATTGAACTCGGGACCTCTTGCACCCTAAGCAAGAATCATGCCACTAGACCAAATGCCCAACGGTATTGTATGTGATGTCTTATTAGTATTATAACATCGATCGGTGGTAAATTTTCAAGAAACGGTGCAGCGTTTGTTGATGAAATCTCTGATCAGAAATGGGTTGTTTCTGAGCTTTCTTGTGCTTCTGGAATACATAGTAAATTGCTTCATAGTTTTTTATAGATATGCGGGAATTGTTGACAAAATTACTTGTATTGTGGAATACAGGAGAATTGGCAGTTTTTGCAGGAATTGTTCACAAAATTATTTGTCCTACTAGCCCTTTCCTCTGCAAGGTTCTCAAGGATAAATACTTAGTCCTGCAAGGGATGCTAACTTCTTTGGCTGTACAATGTAAAGCCTTTGTGTAAGTTGGATGAGCTAGGCTTGAATCTCGTTTTGACCTTTTGTTGAAGGGTTATTGTGCAAGAGAAGGGGCTAAATGGAGGACTGTTCTCCTTTCTGTTAGCCTTTTGTTTTGCCCTTTTAGCTGAATCGGTTGTTGATGATGAACTGCTCTGCCTTTATTTTGCAGGTTTACGTTAGATTTCCATTTTGTAGGACCAATATTTAAAGCCTACTAACTTCGCAATTTGATGGGTTTCTTTGACAGTTTATGGCAGATCCAATTATTCACATGCTAACATGCAAATAACACGTGGTTATATGCATTTAGCAACTTATTAAACATTGATTCCATAAAACAAATATGCAATTTGATGCTTAAACATTGATTCCATAACACAAAATGCTGTTTTGTTTGCCGGGCCTGCATACCAAATGCAGGTGAGGCTTCCCTTGTATTTTGACCTGCTGCTCCCCAAATGCGTGTTCATATTTTTTTTGAGAGGCTATAGCAGATCTGAAGTTTCCTGATATTATGGCAGAGAAACAATGAGGTTCTTTCTTCCCTTCCCTTATATTTTAGCAAGTCATTTTTTTTGGGTAATACAGAATAAGGTTTCAACTAAACATGGTCCAGTAAAAAGCTTGGAGGTGACTCAAGTCCCATCTCCCCAATCGATTCACCACGGCTGGCTCCTGCAAAGCTATCGGCTACTTTATATTGATTTCTTCCCACATGTTAACTGAAGGTGAAGTCGATATATTTATATAGAGCTGTATTTGTTCTTAAAAGTTGATTTCGGTACATATTCCTCTAATAAATTAATTTAGGATAATAATTAAGGAAATCAAAAGAAATATCAAAATATATTGGGCCATTTTGAGAATCGAACTAGGGACCAGAGTTTTAAATAACGGTCTGCAACCGCGATAGCGGTAGCGTTGCATTCCGATATACCTGCAAAAATGCCTGCTATGGCCTCATTCTTGGAAGACCAAACATTTCTAATCTCACTTTTTATGTGGTTCAATGTATCATTCGCCCGCTACAATTTGGCTGCTAAGTGCATTCAAAAATCATAATGCCACCGGGTTATAGCTTTTATCTACATTTTAATCCCAATTTATTGTTATCAATCCAGAATGTGGATCTCCTACAGGCCAAAACAAGTACATGTTATGAATCTTCCAAATTTTATAAATTTATTTTAACTGTGAAGAGTGTGACTACTAAATCAATAGGCCTTTTAGTTATTTTTTGTTAGTAGAAATTAGAATATTTTGATCTATACTTCAAAATAATTTAGAAAATGAAATTATTGAACAAATGGCATCTAGTAGAAATCAAATTACTATTTATTGTCCTGATAAACTTTTCAAGCTGGTTATCATAGTCCTAGATCTTAATTTAGCTGGTAAAGTTGGGTTATCGATATTATATCATCAATAGGGTAGTAAATGTCGAAGAAATGACACATCTTTAATTGTTGTTGAAGTCTCCTGAGATCTGGATTGTTACTAAGTTTGAAGTGGAGTACATAGTAAGGCGCTTCTGAGTTGTTTATAGAGGAGCATACAGCACAATTCACAGTTTTGCTTGAATTGTTCACAAAACTACATGTCCTAATAGCCTTTTCTCACACTCTAAGCCAGAATAATACCACTGGATCAGAACTAGATTGTTTGAAATTTCTTGTGTAAACCTACAAAGGGATAGAAGGTAGTGAAGAAAAGCAGATGTGCATTCTGTGAATTGAATCAGGACTTCTCTCGCCGGACTAGAACAAATAGTCGTCTGTTGTCTTTAATTTATTGTTATTACATTTGCAGGTAGAAGTTTTCGATAAATGGTGCATACCACTAGATGAAATGCCCATTCTTGGAACTCCTATTAGATATTTTCTCTTAGAACTCCTATTAACTTTCAATGGACTCATTCTTGGAAGACCAAAGTTTTCCAATCTCTCATTTTTGATGCGGTTCAATGTATCATTCACATACTATAATTGGATGCTAAGGGCGTTAGAGATCGCATTTCCACCAGGTTACAGCTTTCATCTGCATTTTAATCCCTGTATACTGTTTCAGTTTAGAGTACGGATCCCCTATGGGCCAAAATATTATATGTTATGAATCTCCCAAATTTTGTAAAATTTTTGTAACCATGAAGAGTATGACTGCTGAATCAGTACTTTGCTAGTTATTTTACATGGACATTGTAATTGTTTGATTTATACTTGTAATTATTTAAAAAATGAAATTACTGAACAACTCGGCAGCTAAAGTCTGCAGAACTTAATTTAGCTGGTAAAGTTGTTTGGTTATTGAAGAAGGATGTAGGTCTAAATCCCACCATCACCAAAGGGTAAGGGGAAAAAAGAAAGAAATAAAAGCAGTTTTAGCAGATGGAGAATATGGAAACGCAGTCAAAATACTTTGGCTTTAGTTCTATGTTTTTTGCTGTGTCTTCAGTAAAACATTTATCTGTTTATTTGTTTAGTCTTTTTTTTTTTAAATTTCTGAACGGTTATAAGATTAAGGGCAAAACAATAAACTGTTTATTTTTTACTCACAGTAAAAAAGGCAAAAAGGTGAGGGGCATTCCGAGAATTGAACTTGATACTCTCGCACCCTAAGCGAGAATCAAACCACTAGACCAAATGCCAGTTTTGGTTAGCACGACATATATAATTAATAAAGTTTGAAGAAATAATGCAGCATTTGTTGATGAAGTCTCTGATCAGAAATGGATGGTTTGTGAGCTTTTTTCTGCTTGTGGAATTCATAGTATATTGCTTCATCGTTGTTTATAGAGATGCATACAAGAGAATTATTAGTTTTTAGCAGGAATTGTACACAAAATTACATGTTCCTATAATAGCCCTTTTCTTTGCAAGCTTGGTGATCCTATTCATCATGGATTATCAGTGTTGAAATCTGGATTTATGTTAGAAGTAAGATGATGTTAAATATACTGAATGATTGTTGAGCTTTCCACCTTCAACATCAGCATCCTCTAACGAAATCAACGTACTTAAAAAATCTGTGTTTAGCTTTCCCATCACTTTCTCCGGCCTTGATTTAGTGTTCTTCCAGAATTTCACTCAGGAACCTGTTGAATCTGTTATGGATTTTCTTCAATTTTCCTTACACACCTTGTAAATCCAGCCATTCAAACGTCGGGATAAAGTCGCCGATGTTGAAAACCCCAGACAATTCCATCAGCTCTTCCACCATCGACTTGAACTCGTGCGCCAGTGGATCGGCGTCGCCGCTTCCGTCTCCGAATAACCTTTGCCCCATCATGACTCGACCCCAGAGCGTTCACATTGCATACGTGTAAAAGTTGACCTAAATCCATCTTTGTTTTTGCACGCTCGTACAAGCAAGCACTCTTATCTTAGAATTGCTCTTAAAAATTGATTTTAAAAAATATAAAATGTTACTTTTAGATATTATGTAAAATTAAAAATATATTATTTAAATAATATTTATATTTACTAATACTATAATATATAAAATATATCAATTTATATAATAAAAATATTTTAAGATAATCCATTAATAATATTTTTATATATGAAATATTTTATTAAAAAATATATCATCGATACTTTTTTAATATTTAAATTTTAAAATAATATTTTAGTTATTTTAATTTGACCACAATTACTCATTTCAAATTTAAAATAAAATAATTTAAATGATATATTTATTATTTTAATCATTCAAAAGTAAAAAATAAAATTATATATATTATAATTAAATTTAAACAAAATTATTATTATATATGAAATATATTAATTTAACTGTAATAAAAAATATAAATATAATTATAATAAAAATATATTTTATGATAACTCACTATTAATA